CACTGGAACAGCCCCCCCCCCGGGCCAGGAGCACAGCCCTACTCACAGGCTCCCCTCGGTCGCCCTTGGGTCCAGACGGTCCCGGGTTGCCCTGCAGAAAGCCAGGGGTCAGGCTACTGGGGAGGCAGCATTTTCGGGGGGGCTTAAGGGGAAGTTTTGGAAGCACCTTGAGGACCCTAAGGATCCTAGGATGGAAGGGTCCCAGAAGTACGGGCTGGGGGAGCTGGGGTGGCAGGGAATGGGAATGGGGTGGTTGAGGGGTTGAGGCTAGGGGGTAAAGGTCAGAGGTCAGGACTCACATTTCGACCGTCCTCTCCAGGATCGCCCTGGTCCCCCTTCTCACCCACAGGCCCCCGAACTCCAGGCACCCCCTGATGAGAGCGGCTGGTCTGAGAAAGGCCTCCCAGCATTCTGCAGTCTCCCATCAGCCTTCTCCCCTCAGGTTTCCTGACCCCCCGTGCCCTCCTCCCATCACGCTCCCCCCACCCCACACTCACCCGAAGGCCACGCTCGCCCGCTTTTCCTGGCACACCGGGGTCACCCTGGAGACAGAGCGGCCAGTCTGTGCCCGAGCTAGACCCCACCTAACTCCCCGCGTGGGAAGAGGGAGGCCTGGGCGCCCGCTGCAGGGTGGGGGGGCCCAGTGACTTGGCGGAGCCCCTGCCCCCCGGGATCACAGTTCCGGGGCGGACGATGGGGAGGCATGGAGGGAGGGGGTCTCACCGGAAGCCCATCGTCCCCTTTCTCTCCGGCTTCACCCTGGGAGACAGGAGAGCAGCCCTGGTCCAGACCCCCTCACGGTGCTGGCACCCCACCCACTACGCTCCCCCAGCTGCAGCCTCTTACATCTCGTCCGCGGGGCCCGGCTGCTCCCGGGGGACCAGGCCGCCCAGGGTCTCCCTTCTCTCCAGGAGGCCCCGAGTCACCCTGTAGGGGAGGCAAGAGTGAGGTGGGATGGGACGAACAGGCAGCCCTGAGGGGAGGTGACCCCAGAAACCTTGAGGTTACTCACCGGGGGTCCCGGTCTGCCAGTGAGGCCAATGGGGCCCTGAGGGGTGAGAAGGACGGCAGGACTTAGCCAGGGTCCCGGCCACCGCCTCAGCCCGTCACTCCCCATCCCATTTATTCACCCGGTCTCCTGGGTCTCCCTTGGGGCCAGGGTCTCCAGGTACTGTCAACCCGGGTGGGCCCTGTGAGCAGAAGGGTCTGAAGTCAGAAGGGCCGGCTCCACCCACCCCACCCCTACGCTCCCCGGCACTCACCTGCTCCCCTCTGACCCCGGTGGCTCCTCGGGGCCCGGTGGGTCCCACATCTCCCTGAGGTGACAAAGACCGTCAGTGCTAGTCCCAGGCTTCAGTCACCCCACAACCCAGCAATCGTGCTGCAGCCCCGTGACCACCCTCCCTGCCCAGCCAAACTCACTTTCTCTCCCTTGGCGCCGGCGCCAGCAGGTCCCTGAAAACAAACGGGACAGACAGAGCTGGGTCCCCAGGACACAGGACCAGGCTTGCTGGGGGGGAGGGCATGACAGAGCTGGTAGTCACAGCGCTCAGTCTGTGCCCTTGCAGGCTCACCCCTGCATGGCGGTCAGGGGGTGGCAGCTCGCCACACAGTGACAGTCCCCGAGCCCTGAGCCTGCCCAGGCTGGCCCACTGGCGGTCGCCACTTGAGGACTGAGCCGTTCTCTGAGCCTCCTCCTCTCTCACTCACCACAGTTGCAGGGTCCCCAGGGCGACCAGGCTCTCCCTGCGAAGAGAGGAAGGGCAGGATGGGTCGGACAGAACCCAGGGACCACGGCCCAGTGTCCCAGCTGCCACATGCCTGGTACCAGCCATGTGCCACATACCACCCCAGCCATGACCCCTACCTTCTCTCCTCGGCGGCCAGCGGGTCCTGGAGGCCCCTGCAGAGAAAGCGTGGGCTGGTGGGTGGGTGGAGAGGCACACTGAGACCCACTCCTGGGCCCACCCATCACAGACTCACTTCAGGACCCTCGGCTCCAGGACGGCCGGCAGCCCCCGGCAGCCCCTGGGGAAGAGGAATGAAAATGTTGTTTTCCGTGGGGGGCAGGAGGTTAGGGTACCCAGGGGCCTGGGGTGCAGGCGGGGGCCAAAGCCAGAAGAGAACTGAGACTGAACCACAGGCAGGAGGTGACTAGCAGGTCAGGGCAGGTCAGGCCCCACTGCTGGCATCGGTGGGGACTGGCGCGGGGAGGGCAGGACAGGAAGTCAGACAGGGAGGCAGAGCCCAGGTCGGCTGGCTCCAGGGCCGTGGGATTACCTGGGGCCCCACGGGGCCGGGGGGTCCGCGTTCGCCCTGTGGAACAGAAGGAGTCAGAGCCGAGTCTGGCCCAGATCCTCCGGGCCCCGAGAGCCCCAGCCTGCACTTACCTTCTCTCCAGTCTCGCCCAGAGCCCCGGTCGGCCCCCGGTCACCCTGAGGAGGGAGAGGACAGGAGAGTGGCCTTGACTGTCAACCCCAGACAAGGCGTCTCAAACTCCAGCCACTCCTCCCCAAAACCACCCTGCCCCGGGAGTCCCAGATGGCGCCCTCACAGCTGACCCCGGTCAGTACTCACTTTGGGGCCAGTGGCTCCTGGAAGTCCCCTTGGGCCCTGGAAGGGTGAATGTGGGGCTCAGAGATTTGGGGTGATGTTGTGGGTAGGGGCTGGGGCTCTGCCGTCGCATTCAGAAGCTGACACGTGCTCACCTGCTGACCGGGGACCCCGGGCTGTCCTGGGAGGCCCGGGGCTCCATCCTCACAGTCACCCTGGAGGAGAAACAGAGGTAGGAGGAGCCAGGAGGCCTTGCCTCAGCCTCCCGCCCTAGGGACAGAGAAGGCAGGTTTTCTACCTTGTCTCCTTTCATGCCACGAGGACCAGCTGGGCCTTGCGGGCCAGGGCCTCCGGGAAGACCCTAGGAGGAGGAGTACAAATGTGAGCCAAGAATGAGGCCCCACGGAGACACCCCAAGCAGGCTCCCAGCACCGCCTCCAGGCCCCTCGCCCACACCCGGAGCAGGCTCCCATAGTCTCTAGGCCCCTCACCGGCAGCCCGGGCTCCCCGGGAGCAGTGCTACCATCACCTGGTCCAGGGGGACCCTGGGAGAGAACAGCAGGTCAGGGGATGGTCGGGAGAATCGATTCCAAGCCACCCCCAGCACCTTCATCCCTTACTCACTCACCCGCTCCCCTCGATCGCCTTTGTCACCCTGGAAGACAGATCACGACTTCATGACCCAGGACAGTTAGGGTCACAAGGATTGTGAGGAAATGGGAGTCTCAGAGAGGGGAAGGGGGTAAAGGGTCACATGGCCTCAGAACCACCAGGAGGGACTGTGTGGGGTCAAATGGGATCACCAGTCTTGGAACCACATGGAGGGCCTGAGACCACAGGGAGTCATGCTGGTACCTTCACAGCCATTCCAGGAGGCCCTGGGGGGCCCCGGGGTCCTGGGTCCCCCGGCAGGCCACGAGATCCAGGGGGGCCCTGATGGGAGAGAGAGGATGAGGTGCAACCCCCAGATCTCATTCTCACCCCTCCTGCGGCCCCCACCACACCACCCTTGCCCCACATGCCCTGGGACTTACCGAAGGCCCCAGGTCCCCTTTCTGTCCAGGAAGCCCTGGTCTCTCACCTCCAATGACCTGTCCAGGTTCCCCCTGGAGGGGCAGAGATCAGTGGGCAGGACTCAGGTATGGAGGACACCCTAGAGCTGCCCCAGCCATTCCCCACCGCACCTTGAGCCCCACACAGGGTGTGGCCTGGGACACCCCGACCCTTGCCTTCCCCTTTCACCTACCGGCTCCCCCTTTGAGCCTCGAGGTCCCCGCTCTCCCTAAGGATGAAACAGTGGGCAGTGGTGCTTGGGCTCAGGAAGGGCCACCATGGGCAACATAGCCCTCCCACCCCAGGCCCCCACTCTGTTCCTTCCCGGAGCCCTAGGAAGATGCTTCAAGGTCAAAGGAGGCATGACACCTTACCGGGTCCCCACGCTGGCCAGGCCACCCTGGGGAGCCCTGCAAAGGGAAGCCAGAAGTAATGGTCAGGACCTCCCCAACCTCAAACGTCCCACTGTGATACACAAGGGTAGGCCTGCTTACCTTTGGGCCGGGAGCTCCGGGAGTCCCAGGGGTCCCTGGGCGGCCAGGGCTGCCCGGAGGCCCATCTGCTCCAGGAAAGCCCTAAGGAGGCAAAACAATCAGGACAGGAGGGACTCACCACCAGTGGCCCCGTGAGCTGGAGAGGCCCAGACCATAACCCATCTGGGCCCTCCCCCGGGCCCCTGAGGGATGTGGGGTGGAGCAGCGGCACAGGAGGGAACCGTCAGAGCAGAGCAGAGCCCAGTCCTGGCATGGGGTGCTGAGGCAGAAGGCCTTCCCCACCTCAGGAGAAGAACTGCCACCCGGCCCTCCCAGGGTCTGGAAGTCCCACTGGCCCCTGTAATTCTGAATCTCCCCCAGGGACTGATGTGGTTTCTAATCGCTGCTTAGGCCTCGAGGAACACCCAGGATCCAAACTGTTTCTTCCTCTCTCTTCTAATGTCTCTGAGAAAAATGGGGAGCCCTTTAGGGAACCCCAGTGGCTTCCACACTCACCCTCTCGCCCTTTGCAATGGAACTTCCAGGGGGCCCCTGAGGGCCGGGAGCACCAGTCCTGCCCTGAGAGAAGAGAACGGGTAAGGAAGGGATAACCCAGTCTGTCAGGGTGCAGGGGCAGGTGTTGGGGGGTACTTACTGGGAGGCCAGGGGAGCCAGGAGGCCCAGCTTGTCCTCTCGGGCCCTAGGAAGGGTGACCAATGAGGCCCGCACGCCACCTACCTCCCCCCACCCCATTCCCTGCCCAGCACCCACACCAGGGCCACTCACCAGTTCTCCAGGCTCCCCCTTCTGGCCCTGGGGAAAGACGTTGGGGTGGGGTCAGCAGTGGCCCCGCTGCAGCCCTCGCCCAGCCCCGGACCTTGGACACTCACCTTTGGACAGCGCACTGAGCAGGGCTCTGGCCGTGGCTGTGGACACAGGGTCTCTTTGAGACCAGGTAGTTCTCCCAAGAGCCTCTAGACCCCCTTCTCCACCACCTTGCCCCCAGAGGCCTCTTCCAAACCTGAGAGGCAGAGGCTGCCTGGCACAGGGCTCCTGCCACGTCACTGGCTGCCCGGTCTAGGCTTGCACCGTCGTCCCCAGCAAAGAAGGTCTGGACAGGGTCTATGCCAGGTGCCAAGCGCCGCAGCTGCTCTGGGTCGGCCCCCGCCAAGCCCAGCACCACCACGCTGAGCCCTGCGGAGTGGCCCAGTAGCCTGCATGACGCCTCCACTGCGTCTGCCCCCAGGCCCCTTCCTTACAAGCTCTACTCACCAGCAGCCTGGGCCTCACGGATGGGGCTGAATATGTCACCTCTCAAGGGCTCGTCCACCAGCAGAACCATCACCCCTGGCACCTGCTGGCGGCGCCCAGGAGCATCCGGTGCTAACAGGTATCTGTGAGCCGTGACCACAGCAGTGCCTGAGAGGAAGACCGTGTCAGTGCCCCTGGGGGAGCCCCAGGAGCCCACAGCCCCCACAGCCCTCACCCAGGTTGTTTCCACTGGGGTCCATGTAGGGCATGTCGCGGATCTTCTGCGAGATGACGCCAAGATCCTGGGAGCTATTGAGCGGGAACAGTAGGGAGGACCGGTGACTGTAGGACAGCAGGCCAACCTGGGGTGGGGGGACACAGAGCCTGAGCAAGAATGAGGGTGCACAGAGCCTGGAGAGACAGAGACTTGGGGAGTGACTATAGTTGAACTGTTTTCTTTTCATTTCCTGAAGGCACGTATGCTCGCCAGGGAGAGACAAAGAGAAAGAGAAAGAGAGAGCACCTCCCAGTGGGCATGGTCACACTAGGACCCCTCCTCCTCCATTTCTCCATCCTGTTGGCATTTTGGACACCTATGCATATGCACCCAGTGTGTTCTTCAAGCCACCAGGACTGGGATTCAAACCTCAGCCAGCCATGGGGAAGCTGGCTTCCTTAACCACTAGGTTACAGGGCCAGCCCACAGCTGAACTACTGATTAGGGTCAGCAGCGGTGGAAGGAGAGGGAGCCAACCAGCGGCAGGGAAGGCCTGGGGCCTGGGGCGTGCTGGGAGGGAGCCCAAACCGAGATGGGGCAGGAGACAGTAGCTGGTGTGGGGTCTCCTGCGGGGTGGGAGGGGAGGGGGGTGCAGGGCTCTAGATGCCTCTAGGGCCAGACCTGGGCTCCCTGGGGCCCAAGAGGCCCCAGTGCAGACACCAGACGCTCCAGGACACGTCTCACAGCCTCCGCCCGGTGCACATTGTCTCTAGTGGCATGTACCAAAAACACCACATCCACCAGGCCGCGGGGACACGCTGCGGGAGGCAGGCTGAGTTACTGAGGTGGTCAGCCCATTCAGCCACCCCTCAGGCCCCTCCCGCTGTGCCCACCGTACCTGGCTTCTGTGTGACAGAGTCCTCGGGACCCGGCACACCCCCCCGGATGGGTGTCAGGGAGAAGACATAGGAGACACCAGGCTCTAGCCCTGTCACCTGGTGGGAATTTGAGCTCCCCGGAAGTGTCTGTGGGGCCCCAGGCATTTCTGCAGCAGACAGAGCCCTGTTAAATGGGAGGCCCCCATGGTGCCCCAATCACCAGCCCACCCTACCTCGGCCTCGGCCTCACCTTGGCCAGGGCCTCTGAGAGGCCGCCAGGATAGGATGTAGCTGGATGCCCCAGACACAGGGGCCCAGGCCAGAGTCACCGAGTCAATCGAGGTGTCCACCACGCGTAGCGCAGTGCTCGGGACACGAGGGGACTCTAAAAGAGGGATCAGAGGTCAGGGCTCAGAGCTGCACCCTGAGAACGCAGGGGGAGACCGAGGTCCTGGGGCGGGACCACCCTGGTAAAGGTCGTGGGAGGTCATGCTGGGACCACTGGGGGCTACAGGAGGAGTCGCTTGGGAGTCTAGGGTGCCAGCAATCAGGTGGGTCACTGGTGGGGGAGGCAGCACCAAGGTGGGATGGGTCCTCGGGACTCACCAGTGCGTGCAGTGACTTCCCTGGGGAGCCCTTCTCCAGAGCGCCCCAGGACGCTCAGCCGCACGTGGTACTGTGTCCCAGGCTCTAGCCCGTCTAGATGGTAGCTGCTGAGCTCAGGTCCCAGGACTCGGGACTGCTCCTGGCCACCTGGGACAGGCAAGAGGGTGGGGGCCAGGAGTATGTGAGAAGATGTCCTTGGGTCCCAGACTCGGGACAGCTCCTAGACACCTGGGGCGGGCAGGAGCGGGCAGGAGGATGGGGGCCAGAGCATGGGAGAGGATGCTACCCATCAGCACGAGCTGACCCACCCACCTCTCTGACTGGCTGTGACCAGGTCTGCCCTCCTAATGGATCTTCCTCATTTTCACTGACCCTGACCACTCGGCTGACCTGGCCGAGCCCACCCTCACTGGTCCCACTCATCTGGTTGAGCCCCGCCCACCCTCACTGACCTCTCGCACGCGGCCGGCTCTGCTTGCAACCCCACCCACCA